GCCTATCTATACTTTTGGAGTTATTACGGTCACAAAAATAGGGACGTGCAGACGGACCGACAAAGTGAGACAAAATCGAGAATGTGGGAGCCCAATAGTTTTCACTTCGTCCGTCCGTCTGCACGTCCCTATTTTTGTGACCGTAATAACTCCAAAAGTATAGATAGGAGGCAAATGAAATTTTGCAGTTTTTGTGCATAATATGTATAGCTGTGCATATTTATATTTTAATGGAGGTCAGCTCATTAACTTTGGAAAAAAATTCTTTTTTGTTAAAAATCACAAATTTTAAGAAATGTATTTTGTAAACGCAAAAACATCAAAAGTGTAGAAGGCCAATGAAATTTTAAATGTGCAAATTATACTTTGGTGAAATTCGGCTCATTTGTGTTGGAAAACATTTCGTTTTTAAAAAAATCACAAATTTGAGAAATGTCTTTTTATAATAGGATTTTAACAAAAACTGATATATAGGTGTATTAAGGATGTACACCTCTGAGGAGCCAGAAATTTCTAGAATTAAACTTTTTTTCTTAACCTGATTTTTGGGTTTATATGACTGTAAAAAATAATTGGTGAAGAAAAAATCATATGATGGTGCACTTCTTTTTTTGCTACGGCCCTTTGAAAGTACCCAATTTTGATGATTTTCCCATTTTTCATCAATTTTTACCTATTTTTGGGCTATTATCGTGAAAAAAATCACAGTTTCACAATTAAACTTTTTTCCATACTTTCAATAAAGATGAAGTGGACCAATCTTAATAAATTTAACTTAAAAAAACTATAGGTAGGTGTTAATATAAGAAATTTTTATCATATTTTGATGCTTTTTTGTGTCAAATTAACCATGCTGTCAATTTTGTAAATTTGTGATTTTTCTCTGTTTTAAGAACAAAATGCATATTATTTCAACTTCTTTGTTATAAATGATTGAAAAAATACATATCTAAGAAATTTTAAAAGAAAAAAGTGATATGGGATGTACATGTTTCTGGTAAAATCATTTCTTGTACCCCTCACCCATTTTCTCAAAATTTTGGCTAAAAAGACTGACTTGATTGGTAATAAAATTTGAAATATGGATTACTCAAAAACTACTCATTGTAAATACGCAATTTTTTCACAGAGTTAAATTTGATTATAACATTTTTTAAATTCATTGATATTTTCCACTTGTATCACATGTTTTGTAAATAAATCCAGAACAAGATTTCAACGAGACTGTAACGTCAGAAGAATACATCCTTAAGACATTGACGAATTAAAACAAAATGGTAAAAACTTTTTGTTGAAAATGATAAATTCTGAGGATAATAATTTTTGATAGGATTTGAATGAACAAGTATCATTTTCTATTTCGAACGGATTCTCTGTGTCAAAATTATTGGTTAAAACAGATTTAATACAGGGTCCTAGTATAAGGCATTTGGGGTCAAAGCACATCGGAATCAAGTGATATATCAGTATTTAATGCTGTTTATATTTTCTTTCTATGTTAAACTTGCAACCACAACTTTACCAGTTTTAGTGGGCGCCTGTCCGGTATACCGATTATGTTAAAAGCTAGGAAATTCACCGTTGTTATTTATTTACCGGTGACAATACTTGAAGTATTAAAAAGTTAACCCAAATGACCTGTTTATTATGCAATATTCATATTAATGACATTGTACAGACCTATGTATAATAATAATTAGATAAAAACTGAAAATGAACACTAAAAAATAAGGTAGACAGAAAGTTATAGTTTTTTTTTCCTGGAATTTCAACTTGTAAGGTGAATTACCAGCACCGTCCTGTCGCTTGATAAACGACGTCGACTTATTATGCAGTGAATTAATTTCTATTGTCATAAGCAAAACATATAGGTTTGTGACAAATATATGCAAAAAAACAAATACAAATCTTATATATTTGGTGCAAGTCAATAACTAAATAGTGTACGTGAAAGTAGCAACAAAGTCGTCAGGTAACTTAGAAATCATTTCACTGACATAAGTGAAGTACATTTTATTTTTGGATGAACTTGATTATTTGATTGTTGCTTACTTAATATGCAAATGTTTCATGCATATTCAGGACGAGAGCAGATAAAAAATAATCACTAAAAATGTTGCGCGGGAATTCGAGCGTTGAAATTTTGTCCTACAACAGGCCAACTACGGACCGATAAAGATGTTGCAAACATATTTTTTACTTGCACAAAGCGTTGCCCTTTTCTCACAGTTATAGGCATCGATCGGATCTAGAGTCATAATTCCGATCGATTTTGGTTGCGTATTTATACATCCCTCGCAGTCAAACAAACGCCTTTCAATATTTGTTTTACTGTTGGACGGGGAGAAGTCCATGTTACCAGCCCTATGTATGTATCCCAGTCAATTAATATTATTTTGTAGAATGAGAAGTATCTCTTTTTGCGAATTTTTGTTTTATAATGTGAAAAAGTTTTGTTATTTCAGCTGAAATAACATATACCAAAGCACTTACAAAAATAAAACAAAACACATCAATAAAAGCGCGATTCCTTTACCTTGTTTTCTCATGTGCGCATAGATAACGTGCACGTGTGTGATGAATTGATACATCAAATCATTTCTTTTTCACCAAAAACTCCATTTGATATACGGCGAGTGACTGGCAAGTTTGAACAATTACCAGGGTATCGAGTGCTCTTTGCTATTTTTGCAAATGACCCGAACGAAACCTGAACCACAAACAGTAGCTGGTTTAAGTGATTGGTATAGATCATAGTATTGCTGTCAAAATACTCAGAAATGTGACATAAAACTAGAAACGTTATAATAATTATAACTCTTATGCAAGGAAGCATTTAAATACTGGTGATTTCTGTCGATTTTCTGAAAAAAATAAAATGTTTTATGTAAACGTTTATAGTTCATTGATCGAGGAGAGAAATTGCAATCTCTCCCATGCAGAGTACTTATAGATATACATCATGTACTCTCTTAAGGCCTAAGGATTTTTGAAATATCAAAAATAAATCAAATGAGGAAAATTGTGAAGTGACATAAAAAGTAATGACCCTGTACGAGGTGAAATAGTTGATGATTATTGCTTATAGTTTCTAAAAACCGGACCTAATAAAGAGGTACTAACTTTTTGAATATTCACAGTCCTGCACGTACTTTATAACAAACATAGCAGATTCTTTCAACGTTGAAAATTTTAGCAACATTAAATGGATCCGTATGCATGTTTTATAACCATAATTTACAAAAAAAAAACTCTTAAAGCTTTTACTTTCAATATAACGACACCCAAATAGTTATAAACAATGGCTAACATCGGTAACAAACACACTACTATTAATAAGGATAATATGAAATAATTTCATTCATTATGAACAATCTGCCTCGTTTTTGACGATTAGTAATATTTGAATTGAGTCCTAAATGGAATTGGGGATAAAAAATAGTTTAACTATATCTATTGTTAATTACGTGTCTGTACCATGTTTTAAATCGCATCAATGTTACTTATACCATGATGGTTTCCATCATTTCCAGAAATTGATGTCGGTGACAGATCAAAAGAAGTCTCTGTAATTTTTGATTTGGATACTTCAGTTAAAGACGGGATTACAATTTTCAAAATATTTTAGTGTAACAACAATAAAGTTCTGAAATATTTTTCAATCATAGTAAATACATCGTATAACCAACACCATATTAGTTCAGTGATAACTGGATTGTTAGAGGTTCAGCTTTCTCACTAATTTTGCCAAAGTTTTTAATGATTACTAGTATACACAATGCCAAAGTCTGTCTTTTTCGCGACTTTAGACATTTTTGCACTAGTGTCAAGCTATCCTGCAATTCTCCTCGAAAAAAGTAAATAGCGGTTTATGTTTTAGACAGAGGAAATAGTTTACCCTTCACACTGATTGCATAATTTATTTGACCGTCGATATAGATATCTGTAGCCAGAGGAAAGAAGGATGTCGAGTTTTTAATTTGACCGTTGTGATAGATATCTGTAGCCAGAGGAAAGAAGGATGGCGAGTTTTTAATTTGACCGTTGTGAAAGATATCTGTAGCCAGAGGAAAGAAGGATGTTGAGTTTTTAATTTGAACGTTGTGAAAGATATCTATAGCCAGAGGAAAGAAGGATTTCGAGTTTTTTAATTTACCCGTGGTGATAGATATCTGTTGCCAGAGGAAAGAAGGATTTTGAGTTTTTATTTTGAACGTTGTGAAAGATTTCTGTAGCCAGAGGAAAGAAGGATGTCGAGTTTTTAATTTGACCGTTGTGATAGATATCTGTAGCCAGAGGAAAGAAGGATGGCGAGTTTTTAATTTGACCGTTGTGAAAGATATCTGTAGCCAGAGGAAAGAAGGATGTTGAGTTTTTAATTTGAACGTTGTGAAAGATATCTATAGCCAGAGGAAAGAAGGATTTCGAGTTTTTTAATTTACCCGTGGTGATAGATATCTGTTGCCAGAGGAAAGAAGGATTTTGAGTTTTTAATTTGAACGTTGTGAAAGATTTCTGTAGCCAGAGGAAAGAAGGATGTCGAGTTTTTAATTTGACCGTCGAGATAGATATCTGTAGCCAGAGGAAAGAAGGATGTCGAGTTATTAATTTGACCGTTGTGAAACTATCTGTAGCCAGAGGAAAGAAGGATGTCGAGTGTTCATTTTTGTAAAAATTTCAATCTAAACAAATGAATCGTTTTATCTGTATTGCCTCTATATTGAATACATTCATAGCAATATACATGTACAAGGGGCGATAAAGATGTAATTGTACTTTCTGGCACGGGAAAGTGCCCCAATTGAGATATTAATATGGGTTGTTTAATTTTTACCATCTATAAATCCCATTTTTTTCATACAATAGTAATGTAGTTAGGTAAACATCTTTTGCGAAATCATTTGCGGTTAATCTTTAAGAAGTCATAAATATTCATGTGTATGTTTGAGTGGTCTTAAATATACAATGTCATTCATGTATATATCCATCAAAAATTAGGATTGACAGAAGAAAAATTATAATTTATTAGTATTAGAAAATAATTTTATTTAAAAACAGAAACCAATATAGAAATAGCAATATTTCTCAAATAAATTAATTACAATACAATATTTAAAAAATGTTATTCATGAATTTAACAACCAACATACTATTTTCACAATAAATTACACATTTTACCACTTCAGTAATATCATATAATATTCAGTTTCATTTACACACACACATGCACACACACACTCGAATGATATTTTGATTACATATCATTTTGTAAATTAAATGATGTACTTGTTTTGAAATAATGTAGGTTACAATTAACCTCCTTCCAGCTAATGTAGTCTAGAGCGTGTATTTTTACTTGGTTATTATTAATCTTGGTAAACACAGGCCATATGAGATCTTAGAAATCCATGTATTATTTCATACCTTTAAATGATATCAAGTAATCTTAAATTGCTTGGCTAAAAAATGGCACAATGAAGATGATAACATAATATTAGACCGAATTTTTCTGTCTCCTGTGTCCATATTTCACCCTTCCCATATTTTATTTTCCTCATTTTGACCTTTTATATAAAAAAAAAAATATGAAAAATCCAAATGATAAATAGGAAATATGAAATGTAAAAAATAAACACGAAGAGACAGATTATTCGGTCTAACATAATATTGGATCAATCACAACGAGGCTATATATAACATTTATCAATCAAAACGAGGCTATATATAACAGTGATCAATCAAAACGAAAACAATCAAAATTTAAAGGATCTTATATATTAATCCATTTAGGTAACAACGCAAGACCATCAAAAGTGCCGTATATTGAATAACATTGTATCACTATGTAAAAAAATGAGCGTTAAAAAATTACCTCTTCCTTGACATTGTCAAATTCCATTAGGAAACATCAACCAAATATACAACATATAAATAAATAATCACCGGCATTTATCATTGTCATGATGCAGGGACGGAAACTAAATGAACTACAAGTTCCACATAGACACAACACAATACAAAATACAATACAATACAAAAAGTTAATTTATCACAGATATCCGGATTTATTTTCTTCGGGAAGAGATCATTGGAAGAGCTAAGATTTCCTGGTATGTTAACTGTCGAATTTTCCATTTTGAACACAATTTAAAACAGAACGACTGAATCCTTTTATGTCTCTTAAAAGGACATAATTCCAACTATAAAATTTTGAAGCGGTAAAAGTTTTATGTTGTTGATCGATCATTGTGTTTCTGTCTAAAGATTCTATTGGCCGATATCCTGCTATGTTCACTAAAAAGGAAAACTCACAAAGAATATCGTTTAATGAGGCAATTACTCTGTTTGATAAATCCTTTAACTTTGTGTCTATTTCAACGTTTAAGTTTTTATACACCTCCATCAAAATATACACCTTTGAAATCTTAAGGTAATTTTCTTTGTTGACATCAGAATCCTGTAACAGATAAGTATTAAAACATTTTACAACTGTGTCATCTGAATCTTACAGAAAAGAGAAAAACTTGACAGAAAAGGGAATTATGCTTTACCAGACAGAAAACAATCTTTTAAAAAAACATGGGCAAGATGAGTATATCCCTTTTTTTGATTGAATGACGTGAAAAGTTCTTATTGGAAACTTTTATTCTCAATTTTTGAAAGAGAGATTTTATTTATGAAATTTCCTTTTTTTAACACATTTTCCTCATTTCGATGTCAAACTGAGTTATTTTAGTAATCAAATACACACGAAATAAAAATGAATATTAATTTATAATGTTATTCAGATTTAAAAAAAAAGATAATCCCTATTGCAGATTTCTAGAAAAATAAATAAAAAATAATAATTGGGTTTTTCTTTTTATTGTTTTCTCCTTACCTGTACCGGAGTTGGCACACAACCTTCTGGGAAATTTGCGGTTTTTGGTTTTCCGTCCAACATTGCAATCATATCTTTATCCATAATTAAACTTTTTTTCTGTAAAAAGAAAAACAAAAAAATCAAATAGTTATAGTAAAAAAGAAATGTTATTTTCGCATTATTTCAGCCTATTTCATCCGGATACAGCGTCAATTAATTACCTACGCTTTGAATTTCAGTATTGATTGCTGTTGTACAAACACCGTCTTTTTTTAAAATTTATCTCTGTGATTTAACTTGGCGTTCTTTCACTAACTGTTGTTTCTGTACTCTCATAAAAATGCTTTTCTACAGAGCAAGCCATGATAATAAAAGGAGGGTTGGAGTACCCGAAAAATATCTTAGCCCCGTAATATGTTTTTTGGTCTCTAACCAAGTTCTGCAAGGATTGCGTCAGTAATCGTCGGTGTCGTTTGAATAATGTTGGTGTTTAGTATTAGACTGTTTGTGTTTATTATTAGACTGTTCGTGTTTAGTATTAGACTGTTGGTGTTTAGTATTAGATTGTTGCTGTTTAGTTATAGACTGTTGGTGTTTAGTATTAGAATGTTGGTGTTTAGTATTAGACTGTTGGTGTTTACTATTAGACTTGTGTTCAGCTCTGATAAATACATTCACTTCTTCACTAGACTAACGAGAATAACAGTCTGTCATGCGAATATTTGAATTTAAATTTCCAAAGTATGGTGTGTTCTTCATCTGTTTGAATTATTTGCTTGTTTGCTGTCTCCCCGTGGTTTACCCAACATATCTCTTCATTCATAATTACATAATTACATAAACGCGAAAAAAGAGTGTTATCATGTAAACGTGTGGAAGGACGCATTTTTAATTGATTGATTGATTTATTGATGTTTAACGCCTCTTTCGGCACTATTGGACATTTTTATTGGTGAAGAAAGACGGAGTGCCCGGAGAGAACCACCACCGGCATTCGGCATGAAAACTGACAATCCTATTCAATTAAGATTGGAGTCGAGCGCACCTGCCACGGGTTCGAACTCATAACCTTAGTGTTCACAGGCTAGTGATACAGTAGTACGACTACTTAGACAACTCGGCCACCGAGGCCCCCGAAGTTTAATAGTAAAACGCCGATAATTATTTATAGACTTTATCTTTCTCTTCTACACTTATTTGAAATATGTTGTAAGTTGAAAACGTTGAAATAAACTTTACAAAAACAAAATAGCCATTTAAAATGCTTGCTTCATTCTACTTACAACATGGGAAAATATTCCGTCTGTTTGGCTTAAAAATAATTTGGATTTTCTCGACAACCGTTGGACCACCTCTGCTGTATTTACGTTGACGATTGTTGTGTTGAAATTGACACTAGATGGCGTACTTCCTGCACAAGGTTTTATCCAGGGCTCCGAAGACTGTATAGGGGCTGCGTGTACAAAGGTAGAGAATCCACAAACAGCAATGTCTGTTTGAAATAATAAATTGAAAATTAATCATAAGCATATTTAATCTTTACAACGATACACATTGACAACTTATTATTGTAAAATTGTGAATTGATGTAACACAAGTCAAATAATTGAAATCGTCATGGATATGCATGAAATATTTGTCAATGGGCGTTAAACAAGCATCAATCAAGCAATCAAATATTAAAACATACTTCTCGGCACTTGTTCCTCATTTTTGTTCAGTTATCTATATGTCACGCGTACAACCAAACGAAAACAATGAGCAAGTGCGGATAACTAACTTTTAAGTTTGGATTAAATCTGAAGTTAGAATCGAATGGCTTCTTTTATGGCATATTTACAGTAGCTGCTTGATACTGTACATCATCAGATTAAAGTAGTGCGAAAAATATGAGGGTGTAAATTTCAAATTATTTCTGAAAATTATTGTTAAATAAGTTAGAAAAATAAGAACGAGATCAAAAGAAGGCAGATTAGTAAAAAGAATAATTATGAAATTGGAATACCTACATGTTAAAATAATAATTTTCATTTTACAACACTTTTCTTTTCTATCTAAATATCTATCTGTAAATTGTAATATAACTAAAGAATTGAATCTTGCAAGTATTTATATACAAAATGCTGTATTTACCTACTTTTTCCGGAAACGTGTATAAGATACCATTCCTTTTCCCGTCCGGATGGTCCAAATCATGCAATTTCATCATTTCTCACGTCCAATAGAAACTAAGGGCCACGTTGGACTACGATATCTATTCATAGCAACCGTAGCTTTCCAAATCAACAAAAACGTTCAGTATCGCCCCTGTATCTTAGTCATGGTGTCATCCTTGATTATCATTTTCAAATGACAAAAAAGACTGTCTTCCGGAAAGTGGTTTTAACTTTTTGCGGTTTGTTTACGTATGCAAAAAATATTACTTTACTATGCCCTTTTGTTCACTTCGGTGGACATGAAAGAAAATTACAGAAATATTGTGCAATAAAAAATACGCTTACCAGTTTATGTGCAAATAAATACATATAAACGATTTTGCAAGATGTTATATGTGGCCCCAAAAGGATATGAATGATGTACTTTTATTTTTAACAGTTATTATTTTACGATTAACGTTTTACAAGTGTAGGCATATGTGTAATTATGGTTTTTAATCAGGGTTGATTGTTATACAAATTCCTTCCATTGCGGAAAAAGGATAAAATAAAATGAAATAAAAAGAAAGATGAATGCAAACACTTAGTAATGATATAGTAAATAAAACGTAAGAAATTGATGAAGGACATATGACGCCTACGTTTAATGAAGGAAAAATACATTGACTTCGGAAGTGTTAGGATGCCCTCTGTGATTTAACTCCAGCGGTAAACAAAAGTACAAGAATGTTAATGTGTTATTTCCGAAATATGAAAAGGTGTATGTTATAGTATATAATACTTGCCTTTAATTGAGACATTTCTTGTATGACTTTACAATTTGTTTTTGTGGTAAACTTATGACTTTGAATGTAATAGACTTACACTATTTCAACCAACTACATGCACACTCTTGACATAATTATACATTTGTAATATAATAACGTTCATTCCTTGCTCGCCTTTAAAAATAGCTTGTTCTTTTCTCGTTATGATAATTATATTTAGATTTTTAAATATAATAGGATTATAATGCAAGCGGGATAATGAACAAATAACATCTTATTGCTGTTGCCAGCTAAGCAAATCAACCCCAAGGGATGACTGGGATATATAAATATATGGTCTTCCCTGGAATTCTATCCAGCAGTAAACCCCGTGCTAAAGAGGAGCGATCGTTTGTTGTTTTTTTTTCATGTATGAATATGCAGCCACCTCCGGTCATAATGTACTGGGACTTCAAATCCGATGCCTCGTGTAATTAGTGTGACACACGCCCTGTTCACGTTAAAAAAACCCGTGTAAAATCTCTTTAAGGGGTCAGGAGGTCTGTTGCTAGTAAAATGTCTGCTCTATCTATCATATCGTCATTTGCCCGTGCCAGTGACCGATTTTTGATTGTTTATATATATGACTGGTAATAGTTATAGATAAAAAAAATGAAATCAAAATTCAAAAAATATCCGTTGACCAATTACGGACAACAGAAAAACAAAGTTTTTATCGTGAGAACAAGTGGCGAAAAGTATAATTGATCTTATATTCAATAAATTCAAAGGTATTTATAAACGCAGTTTAAATATACTGAAGGTTTTCACTGCTTAGTTACCTAGGTAATAAATATAATTTTTTTTTAATATTCATAATATATAATTTGAATGTGCAAGGTTTGATAGCATATTATATTGGTTTTACAGAAGTTCAAAAAAATTTATATAATAAAGTTATGAAGTATGAAAAAAACAACAAAAAAATAAAAGAAGAATGTGTCTGAGGACACGAATGCCCCCGCTCTATCTTGCTTATTATATGTGAAAATAATTTTGGCACGGACGGAAGGACGGACGGTCAAGGATAACACTTAATGTCCCCTTCGCCTAGCGGCGGAGGCATAAAACAAACTAATATAAGACCGTATAACGTAAGACAATTTCTTTTGTATTCATAAGTACCCGGATGCGTTGTTTTGTACACATAATGTAAATTTTGATACCTGGTTTTATAATTGTTATTTTTTCAGATACCTTTTATGTTTCCACCCAGACATAGAATACAACTAAACAATCGAACAGAGTACCCCATGAACCATAAAAGGTGTGTTAAGAATTCAGGTGTAGTTATTTTAATATTTCATGATGTATATAAATAAGAAGATGTGGTATGAGTGCCATTGAGACAACTCTCCATCCAAGTCACAATTTATAAAAAGTAAACAAGTATAGGTCAAAGTACGGCCTTCAACACGGAGTCTTGTCTCATACCGAAGAGCAAGCTATAAAGGGCCCCTAAAATGACTAGTGTAAAACAATTCAAACAGGAAAACTAGCGGTCTAATCTATATAAAAAACGAGAAAAGAGAAACAATGCGATATTAAAATAAAAAAAAATCACCAAAACAAATAAGAAAGCACTGAATCTAACAACTGTTGGAACATATGAAAAATGACTATCATATATCCGACTATTATAAATATTATATAACGGATAACACTGGGTCGATGCACTTCTGTTGGATGTTTCGTCCCCGATGTGGTCAGCGCACTGTGCTGACATGACATCTCATTAAAGTAATCATTTTCTGTTCTGTTAATTAACTGTTCATAAAACGTGAAAATCTTTCGAAACACTTAAGGTTAGCCATAGCCAGATTTGGAACACTAAGGTTTTTCGACCAACAGGCATAGATAGCCATAGTCAGATTTGGAACACTAAGGTTTTTCGACAAACAGTCATAGAAAGCCATAGCCAGATTTGGAACACTAAGGTTTTCCGACCAACAGGCTTAAATAGCCATCGCCAGCTTTGGAACACTAAGGTTTTTCTACCAACAGTCATAGATAGCCATAGCCAGATTTGGTACAACTTTTTTATTTTTTTGGTTTTTAATGCTCTTCAACTTCACAATTGTGTTGGACTTCCAACTGTTTTAATTCGAGCGTTATTTTCGATTCTTATGTAGATGAAACATGCGTCTGACCTAGTAGATCACAAGCCTGGTACCTTTGATAAATATTTGATAACCACTATTGTGTAGATGCTACTCATGTTGGACCTTTAGTCCCCGAGGATAGCACCAGCCAGGTAGTCAGCACTCCTGTGTTGCCTAACAAAGAATAATTGATGTGGTCGTTTTCTATAAATTTTCTAATAATAAAACGTTATAATGATTCGAAATCCTTAGGGGTTTCTACCTCCAGAATGAGATAACCTTAGCAAGAAATTCATAAAGTTTTAGAGTGTTTGGTATTCAATGATATTCAACTTTGAAAATTATTTGGCATCCCAACTGTTTGTTTCAATTGTCACTGATAAGTCGCCTGTAGACGAAACGCACGTCAGGCGAATTGAATTATAATGAGCCTGGTATTATTGAAGAGGTGAAAGTGGTTCGTAAATCTAGGTTTTGTCATGTAAAACCTCTCACTTTTGTGATAATGTTATTTGAAACAAATGATAAATGACGCATATTTAATTATAAAAAGAGCAAGAATGGATCTAGAACAGACCAAATTCCCAACCCAGTAAATAATATAGGATATTGAGAAGTATTTTGTACTTGAAAAAATCTTAATGATATATAGATATAAGAAGATGTGGCATGAGTGCCAATGAGACAACTCTCCATCCAAGTCAAAATTTATAAAAGTAAACCATTATAGGTCAAAGTACGGTCTTCAACATGGAGCCTTGGCTCACACCGAACAGCAAGCTATAAAGGGCCCCAAGAATTACTAGTGTAAAATCATTCAAACGGGAAAACCAACGGTCTAATCTATATAAAAAACGAGAAACGAGAAACACTTATGAACCACATCAACAAACGACAACTACTGAACATCAGATTCCTGACTTAGGACAGGTGCAAACAATAGCAGCGGGTTTAAACGTTTTAATGGTACCAAACCTTCATCCTTATCTGAAACAATAGTGTAACATCACAAAATAGAAAGACAAATATATATATTTATAATAAATATTTCAAGTCTTCCAATGGAGAAGATCTCTTGCTAAGAACTGACGAAAGCAATGAGTCGATGTTTTATGTAATTGACTACTCAACCCCAGTCTGAGGTAAAAGTGTTTTACACACCGCACACCAATCCATTTTCAGAAATAGAATCAAAATATCAAAGTTAATATATAACAGTGGATTTGTGAAATTAGTGAATTTGAGAATGACGTGTGTTTTTTATGGCATTAAGTGTTACACTTGACAGTCCGTCCGTCCTTCCGTCCGTCCCATTTTTGTTTCCGCACTCTACCTTAAGTTTGCCTCATCTAAATTTTATGAAACTCATACACAATGCTAAAAACCACAACACGCAGACAGGGTTCAAATTTGGGCAGTGAGTCATTTACCGTTCTACATTTATGGCCCTTTGTAACTTGAAACTTGCAAAGCTTGAGCGGGGGCATTTGTGTCCTCAGACACATTCTTCTTTTATTTTTTAAATATCAATTCTTGAAAGAATGGATGTGAACAGAATAAATGTGCCAGTCGTAAGACGAGGCAATGTTGACACAAGGGACGTCATTATAACTCGGTGACAGGTAAACATAAGTTATATTTATATCTTCTGTAATAAAAGTGAAATCTGTACACATGTCTTTTATTCGTATTCATTTAACAGTGATATCCATTAAAAACTATAAATTAAAACGACATACTACATCAGAAAAATACATGTAGATTAAACATCTACAAAATCTCTGAATAGTTTAGTATTTTACATAATACCTGATTTTACGAATTCACTGTAACAAATATAATGGCATTTAGTTAGTTACTCGCACGAGTTAAAAACTGATCCCGATGAGTTCAATCAGAGAAACGCTGGATGTAAAATTGTATATATATATATATATATATATATATATACCATCTTTTCCGCAATTTTATTGTTTTCTGTTTGGTATTAAATTAAT